GCCCCCCGCCCCGCTCTATGGCGCACAAACCTCCAAACACACCTCTGGGTCCTTAAAGGTGAGATCTCTCCGCCTGGCTGAAGTGGTGAAGAGCCACTGGCACCTGCTAAACAAGGGCGCAGCCGGTCAGGATCCTTCCTGTGCAGCCGCTGAGAAACGAAAGTGAAATTCTCTGACCTGTAGGAAGAGGAAAGAGGAAGAAACTTCTGGGCCAAAGGGTTGCAGACCTCTAAGGCACTCAGACAGCGCACCTCATTAACCCTGTTTCTCTGGGCGTTTGCATTAGAGGTAAATTTTTCAGTGTCTGGAGAGCTTTGAAGGGTTGTAGTCAGGGTAACCGACACCTAGTGCTGTAGAGGCCAGGCATGCTGCCAAGTGCAAGGGGCAGCTCTAGGTACAATTAGCAAGTCCGAACTGGCGGAAGATGGAAAACTGACGCAGTCTTTAAAGTCTCAGGCTCACAACCGAACTACCGACAGTTTGAGGAAACCTGTTTTAGCTCTTTCTGTTTCTTTGGCCAACGAGACACCGGGTGCCTCCCCTCTTCTGCAGTCATCATGGACGTACACAAACCCCCAAATCCCCAAACAAGGGTATCCCTGGAAGTAGACCAGGCTGGCCTGGCTCTCACAGAGATCCGCCTGCCTAGGGCTAGGATTAAAGGCATTCCACCACCTCCAGCATTAATCTACCAATTTGAATCATTCTTTCAGGTTTAACATTCTATGCATCCCCAAACAAGATATTGTCCTTTTTAGGGGATGGAAGATGAGTGCGGGGAGGTGAACAGTGCTGAGAGGATGGGTTTGCAGAAGATCTGGGGAGCTCCTTAGAGGGCTGGGTGTGTTCTAAGTATTTATTATGTGGTAGTTACACAAGGGATAAAACTTGTTGGAAACTCAGATTGTACACTCATCTAAATGGGCACATAGCACTACATGTAACATGTTCCTCAATGACTTCAATTACAAAAGAAAATTAAGTTTTCAGAGATTCTTCTGTAAACCGGAGGCTGAGAGTCACTGGTTTTAAGTGCTAAATCAGGTCTTTGGAGACAGTAAAGGGTGCTTTTAAAACTGAGATACCCTTGACACTTCTCCTCATGAGTCAGAATCGAATAGGAGATTCCCGTGAGAAGCTATCTGAACATGGTGCCTCCATGGAATGGATAGTGTATTCATGAAGGAAACAAGTCAGTGGGTTCATTTTTTGTGCACACAAGGCAAGCCTAGTGGAGTGGTGACGTACACTGTAACTGAGGCAGGAGGCTCACAAGTTCTAGGCCACCGAAGACTGCATGATCAGACCCTGTCTCAAGAAACTAAAGGCAAAAGAAAAGGGGAAAGAAAAAAAAAACAAAACAAAAAACAAAAACCTCTAGCTTCCTATCATCTGTGAAGTTCATCACATGACGAAAAGTGTCAACTTCAGAAACTGGTGGACAAAGTACAGTTGTCCCTTCTGCTTCTCTCATCATGTGATTCATGCTTGGGGATACAAGGGCAAGCGCCCGGTAGACAGACAATTAAAAAATTTGTTGGAAGTGTGTCCTAGTTTGTCTCTCCATTGCTGTGACAAAACACTCTGACCAATACCAACATGGAGAAGGAAAGGGTTTATTTATCTTACATCGCCCAGGTCACAGTTCATCAGGGAGACCAAGGTAGGAACTCAGGGCAGGAACCTGGAGGCAAGAGCTGGAACACAGGCCATGGAGGATCACTGCTTACTGGCTTGCTCCCCTGGCCCTGCTCAGCCTGCTTTCTTATGCAACATAGGCCCACCTGCTCAGGGGTGGCACCACCCACAGTGGGCTGGGCCCTCCCACATCACTCAACAAGAAGATGCTCCTCAGACACGGCCACAGGCCAGTCCAATAGAGGAAATTCCCCAACTGAGCCTCCCTCAACCCAGGTGTGTCAAGTTGACACTAAAGCTATCCCACACAAAGTGTAGCAACTGTGTCATTAAAAATATCTGCACTAAATTCTGCTGTACATATTGCTTTGGCTATGTCTGAGGGAGTTCATTATTACTTTCCCATCCCAGTCATTAAATATTGGTAATTCATATCAATCAGATAGCAAATCATTAGGCAGGTCTGTTAAATCATTAGCCAAAATGTGCTTGTTAAATGGGTTTGGTGGCACATGCCTGTAATCATAGAATACATGAGTTCAAGGACAGCCTAGTCTACACTCAGAAAACAAAGCAAAGCAGAACAAAACAAAACAGCCTCCAAACCACAATCAAACACCTAAGAAAAAAGAAAAATATCTGTAATTTATTTTATATTTAGAGCTCTTTCTAAACACAGGAAAGGCTGAATGTATTAATCAAGCCTCTTTAAAGGAACAGAACAAATAAAATGAATATATATATAATTATACACATACATATGTATATGGATTTATTAGATTGGATAACAAGATAGAGTTCAAGTAGTCCAACAATGACTGCCTGCACTGGAGATGCCGAGAATCCGGTAGTTGCTCAGTCCACAAGGCTGGATGTCTCAGCCGTCCCAATCTGACACTGAAGACCTAGAGGATCCTGGAGATCTGATGGTCTTTAGTCTATGCCTGAATCTGAAGAAGCTGGTTCTAATATCAGTAAAGGAAGGAATGCCACAGCAACAAGATAGATGAACTCACCAGTGAGAGAGAGGGCAAGTAGGCAAAAAGCAAAGGATGCCTTCTGCCTAGGCAGGCATCCTAAGCATTTGGTCCCTGGAAACACCATGATGGATTACCCAGTACTAAAGGTCCATTTGTGTCTTGCTGTTATAGGTTTCGTTTTGCCTTTGCTGCCCATTACCATAACTGTACTCATCTTACCTTTGGTGATTCAATGCTGCTACCTGACCCTCCTAGGAGGTTCTGTTAAACCCATTACATTTAATTCATGCAACTGAGGAGCAGCATCTCCATCTCTAAGGTCTGGCACAAGGAAAAGAGCCAAAACAAAGCGCTTCAAATGTGCTGTTGCCTCTCTCACCATTTTACGCCTTAAAAATTTTTTTAGTATTTTTATTTTTTGTCTATGAGTGTACTGCCTGTATGTATGTAAGTACACCTATGTCATGTAATGTGTGGAGGTCAGAAGAGGGCTTCAAATCCCCTGAACCTGGAGTTATGGACAGTTGTTAGCCACCATGTGGGTCCTGGGAATCAAACTTGGGTCCTCTGCAAGAGCAGGTGGCGCTCCTAACCACTTAGCCAAACTCCAGGAGTCTGGGTGAGGGGTTACTTACAGGAGCAGGGATGACTCAAAAGCAACCGTATCCCCCAAAGCCCACCACGACATGGGTGGTGCCACTTGCTAACTTTAGTTTTCCCATAACACAGCAAACAACACAAATACACTCATGTCTTAGTTTGTTTCTTCATTGCTGTGACAAAACACTCTGACCAGTACCAACTTGGGGAGGAAAGGGTTTATTTGTCTTACAACTCCCAGGTCGCAGTTCATCAGGGAGCCCAAGGTAGGAACTCAGGGCAGGAACCTGGAGGCAGGAGCTGGAGCACAGGCCATGGAGGAACGCTGCTTACAGGCTTGCTCCCTCGGCTCCTGCTCAGCCTGCTTTCTTATGCAACACAGGCCCACCTGCCCAGGGATGGCACCACCCACAGTGGGCTGGGCCCTCCCACATCACTCATCAAGAAGATGCCCCTCAGACATGGCCACAGGCCAGTCCAATAAAGGAAATTCCCCGATTGAGGCTCCCTCAACCCAGGTGTGTCAAGTTGACACTAAAGCTATCCAGCACAACTCATATCCCATACTAAATTATTTAAAATTGCCTGAGTCTTAAAGATGACCACTTAGTAGAACAGCATGTTTGTCAGAAACATAAACAACACTTAACTATTCTGTGGTGTTTTTCCTCCTGAACCTGCAGAGAGAACGAGCTTCGTTATTATGTCCCCAATTATCTTAAGAATAACTCAGAACCCTTACATAGCATACTGAAGTGTGTGACCTCAGAAACAAAGCAAGCCACGGAGACAAACAGTTCCCTTCTCAAGGCAGGAGAGCAAAGGAATCCCTTGACAGGAGAGAATGCTTCCTGCAAGAGATTTACTATGGATGGGGAGGGTTAAGTGTGCTGATATTTACAATCAATCAAACCAAAACAAGCAGAAAGATTTGGGGTTGGAGTCAGGAGCAAATGGTTACCCAGCATTATTTTCTGCCAAATTGAAGATCTGGGGAATCTTATGCAACAGAGTGTATTGCATTTCACACTCCCAGGCTGAGGAGCTTCTGGTCACCATCTGGCGATGGTTATGGACATTTCTAGATATTGATCACAAACACCTACAGGTTAAAGACAGCTCGTGTCCTGAGAGTCTCTTGAGCCCACTCAAGCTTCCTACCATGGATGCCTTACCCCCATTTATAATCCAGCATATTCATAAAACCCCAGCAATATAAGATGGTACAAATGCTTCACAGACTTTCAGAGATGATGGGCGAGGATAGGCCTGGAGCTGATTCTTGGGTAAGAGTCTACAAACTTGGTGACCTATTAGATCCACTGAGCCTTTTGTTCTAAATTCAGATTCCTTCCTTCTCTGGGCCTTCCCTTCCCTTCCCTTCCCTTCCCTTCCCTTCCCTTCCCTTCCCTTCCCTGCCCTGCCCTGCCCTGCCCTGCCCTGCCCTACCCTGCCCTCAGAGTTTGCCAGTGTCTTTCTTTCTTTCTTTCTTTCTTTCTTTCTTTCTTTCTTTCTTCTTTCTTTTAGTTGCAGACTGGGGATTGAACGCAGGGCATCCATTGCACATGCTAGACAAGTGCCCTACTACTGAGCTATATCCCTAGCACTTTAACTTTTGATTCTGAGAGAAGATCTCTGTAACCCAAACAGGCCTTGAACTTACCAATCCTGTGCGTGAGTAGCTGGGATTATAGGACTGCGCCATCAGCCCAGCCTTCTTTTCCTGCAAACATTAAGATTGGAAGCAATTTATAGATTTCCTCTTTTTGTCAGTAGAGGGTGCCATTTCTGAGGTCTGGCGGCTCGGTTAAACAGAGCTTCAAGTGTCAGATTCATATTCGTATTTGCTATTTCAAGCCATTTATCTCCCCAAACCACCTTTTTCATCTTGAACTGGGAGGCTGCGGATTCTGCGGATGCAGTTC